CCCGCCTTCTTCACAGCGTCGATGGCGTCTGCCGAACCGTTCTTGGTGGCGGCCTGAACGCCGAAGCGCTCGCTCTGCTGCTGCATGATCGAATGCAACTCTGTGTCCTCTGCAGACACCGCCAGAGCCTGCTGCAGAAGGGTCACGAGCGCCTTGTCGCCGCCTGCAGCAGCGCCTCGCTTGCCCCTCGGCTTGCCCGAACCCGAGGGGATGCTTCGTCCTGAAAGGAGACCGACTTGGTGCGATCAGCAGAACGTGAGCGAGGCCGAACGTCTTCACTTGTCTGTTGCATCGCCCACAACGGTTGCCTGGCAAGGCCAGCGTATTGTGGTACCCGCACTGCTTGCAAAACTTGCGCTGACTCCAGGGCCGAGGTCCGACCTGTGGCGCCATGCTGAGTTGTGTGATAGAGAAGAACGCGAATGCTACCCCAGCTTTCGTTATCAGAAACTGCACGCTAAACGGGACAGCCTCTGCTATCCCTCAGGCACCCGTTGGAGGTACTGGTGTTGGCTCTGAAGTGCGGGCCGATTCCCAAGACAGCCTGGCCCCCATGTGGGCCGATTCACCCCAGGCCAAATGGCTTGACAGGGGGAGGGGGAGGAGGGGGAGGAGGAGAAGGAGGAGGAGGAGGAAGAGGAGGAGGAGGAAGAGGAGGAGGGGGAGGAGGAGGAGGAGGCAGAGGAGGAGCCAGAGGAGGAGGAGGAGGAGGAGGAGGAGGAGGAGGAGGAGGAGGAGGAGGAGGAGGAGGAGGAGGAGGAGGAGGATGAAGGAGGAGGAGGAGGATGGAGGAGTCGGGAGAGGGAGAAGGAGGACGGGGAGGAGGAGGAGGAGGCGGAGGAGGTGGTGGAGGAGGAGGAGGAGGAGGAGGGGGATGGGGAGGAGGAGGAGGAGGAGGAGGAGAAGGAGGAGGAAGAGGAAGAGGAAGAGGAGTAGGAGGAGGAGGATGGAAGATGGAAGATGGAGGAGGATTGTGGAGGAAGAAGGAGGCGGAAGAAGGAGAGGGATGGAGGAGGAGGATGAAGGAGGGTGGACATGGACGAGAAGGAGGACGGGGAGGAAGAGGAGGAGGAGGATGGAGGATGGAGGATGGATGATGGATGATGGAGGAGGAGGATGAGAAGAATGAGGACTAGTGCAAACCCAGGATTCATCAACGATGATGGAATTCAACCCTTCCTCCAAGCTCTTCCTTCATAGACCTCTACAACGATTCATTTCCATTGAGGGAACTGCCTCGTTGAAACGCAACCGTTTGAAGACCTTGCAGCATGCCAAAACACTGTTCTCGGGATTTCCACGCCACGGATCAACCTGACTGCTGCGTCCTGAAGATCTGAATCGTGCCAGGGCGCCATGTGCTGGACTTCAGCACCGCGAAGCAACATAATTGTTGCGCCCGCGTTATCCTGAACCCGTCCAAAACACAATGTATGGTACAATGATGATGGGAATACGTGAAGCTTTCGCAACGCGTTGCAAATAATGTGCGCGGCCCTTAGGCGAGAGCCACAGTTTGGAAAGAAACCGCCCTCAGTGCGTAAACTCTTGCAATGTGTTTAAACGAAAGGGCGCGACACTATGGCGAGAACCCCGCCCTGGACCCCTGAAACTCTTGCAAGTGTTAAAACGAATGTGCGCGGTGTTACGGCGAGAGCCACAGTTTGAAAACCACCCACCCTCAACCCCTAAAACCCTTGCGAATGTTTAAAACGAGCGTGCACGACGCTAAACCGAAACCCACATGTTGAAAACCACCCGCCCTCCATCTGTGAAATCGTTTCTGTCGACGTTTCAGAAGCATGAATGGTGAGGAAGTCTCAGGCAAAACGCCCAGCCCGCCCTAAAAACTGGCCTCGGGGTGCGACAGGCAGAAGTTACGAATAAGGAACAGGAATTGTGGAGGAGGAGGAGGAGGAGGAGGAGAAGGAGGAGGAGGACGAGGATGGAGAGGAAGGAGGAGGAGCAGGAGGGAGGAGGACTTTCCAAGGGCTTGCCCAAACTGACAGAGTCAGAGCTGCAGGGGGACTCCCAAGAGTGGCCTCGCTGGAGGGCGCAGACGCGAAGCGGGGCGGCCCGCCAACCACTGCCACGCGTGCTCGGTGGAGCCACCATGGCCAGAACCCGCCCAGCAGGCGCAGCAGTCGGGGCGGGGCTCCGTTCTGGCGCCCCCGCGGCCGTCCCATCCGAGAGGACGGCCTTCGGTTGCACGCGAAACTGCCCAGGCCCCCATCTTGGTGAGGGGGCTGTCCATCACGGCACTTGCACTCCTCCGCAAGGCCTCGAAGATGGTCTCTCCCTCTTAGAACTCTGCGCCCGCATGCCATGCAAACCCAATAATATTCAAAATAAGCGAGGCTATGGGACGGGTGACCGATCCGCGTGCCTATGGTCAAATGCTGGGCTTGTGCTTGCTGGGGCAGCTCTTGGGGGGGTCCAAGGCATTTGGAGGTCAACCAAACGTTTAAATATTTGCTGCTAGCAGTTTTTTTTTCTGGGAGACGTGTTACAACAGGAGGGATGAGGAGGAAGGTGAGGAAGAGGAGGGAGAGGAGGAGGAGGAGGAGGACGAGGATGGATGAGGAGGAGGAGGAGGATGAGGAGGAAGTGGAGGATGGAGGAGGAGGATGGAGATGGAGGAGAAGGAGAAGGAGGAGGAGAAGCAGGAGGAGGGAAGAGGAGGAGTGAGGAGAAGGAGAACGGAGGAGGAGGAGGAGGAGGGAGGAAGATGAGGAGGAGTACGGGGAGGAGGACGGGGAGGAGGATGGAGGAGAAGGAGGATGGAGGAGAAGGAGAAGGAGGAGGAGGAGGAGGAGGATGGCGGAGGAGGATGGCGGAGGAGGATGGAGGAGGAGGATGGAGGAGGAGGAAGAGGAGAAGGAGGAGGAGGAGGAGGAGGAGGATGGGGATTGGGGGGCCGACCCAGACCTCCTCACGATGGGAGGATGTGTGGGCGCGACGTAATGGGGGGGATGAATAGGGGTGGGGGGGGAAAACAGGTGCCCTGTTCGGGCGCTGAACGCCCCCTGCTGGGCCGAAAGTGCCTCTTGAGGGGCACTATAGGGGTCCCTTGTCGGCAGCCCTCGCCGCCCCCTTATGTATCGCCCCCCTTATTTATGCGCCCTCCACATACGGGGCCTCGGGACAATCAAAAAACGACTCGGGATGAAGAACCCGTCCCGGGAAAGAGGTCGAGAACTCTGGGGGTCGACGTTGCGAAAACATCACGACGTCGAGTGTCTGGGGAAGGGGAACCGAACGGGGGAAGGAAAGGCGGGAGGTAGGGAAGAGGAAGAGGAGCGAGACTTTTGGACCCAACCGCACCAGCCCCAACACCACACAGGCCAACATCCGAGCCATGCTGTTGCTAGCACCAAGCTGGTGGCGCAGAGAGGACACACAGTGGCCGACACCAGACTCAGAGAGCCAGGTGGGCCATGACAGCACGCCAAACAAAAGAGCCGCCCTTGCCCATCGAGCCGAGGTCCTGCGTCCAGCTCCGCGGGAGGAGAAAATAGAGGCCTCCTAGATGGGGTCGGAGGATCGCGCCGCGCCACCGATACATCGGCGATGCATCGGTGGTGCACCGACGATGCATCGCCGACGTCGGCGATGCATCGGCGACGTCGACGTGAAGCAAATCGGGCTGCACATCGAGCCGCATCTGCCACGCAGGAGGGGAGAAGGAGAAGGAGGAGGAGGAGGAGGAGAGGGAGGAGGAGGCGCAGGAGGAGGAGGAGGAGCAAGAAGAGGAGGAGCAGGAGGAGGGAAGGAGGCACGGACTGCAGCGTTTATAAAGGGGGCGAACCCCATTAACACATGCAGATGAAAACGGGAAAGCGACCCCAGACCAGGCGGGCTCGGTCGGCATGGGATTCATCGGGAAACTGAAGAGGCACTGATACCGCTGCTCCCCAGACCTCTCCCAGGGTGCGTTCTGACATGGACTCTGAGGCGAAGCCAGCGGTGGCGACGAGGGCCTCCCAGGATGCCCAGAAAAGGGGGAGAGCGAGGCAAAAGCAGCGGCATGATCATGGGTACCTTCTGCTTCTCTGCTTCGTGGGCCGCGCGCCCTTGCCGATGCCGCCGCAGCCCTCGCAGCTCGGGCGGCAGGAGGAGGACCGCTCGTAGCGGGAGGGGGAGGAGGAGGAGGGAGGGAGGAGGAGGAGGAGGAGGAGGAGGAGGAGGAGAGGAGGAGGAGAAGGAGGAGGAGAGGAGGGAGGGAGGAGAAGGAGGAGGAACATGAGGAGGAGGAGGAGGAGGAGGAGGAGGAGGAGGAGGAGGAGGAGGGAGAAGGAGGGAGAAGGAGGTGGGACCTTCTGTTCCTCTGCATGGGCCGCGCGCCCGTGCCGATGCCGCTGCAGCCCTCGCAGCTCAGGCGGCCTACATCCCAGCGGGACCGCTCGGCCCCAGGGCGGCCCGCAGAAATCTGCCCCAAGTTCTCTCCCCCGCGACCCTCGGCCCGGGAGCCAAGAAGGGGCCCGAGCCAAGGAGGGGTCGAGGTCCAGAGGCACGGGGGCCAGGGCACTGGAGGAGGAGGAGGAGGAGGGGGAGGAGGAGGAGGAGGAGGAGGAGGAGCAGGAGGAGGGGGAGGGGGAGGGGGACGGGGAGGAGGAGGAAGAGGAGGAGGAGGACAAGACAAGACAAGAGCACTTACGAGCCAATTGTTCGCTGTCTTGCTGGCTGATAAACCTTAAAGGCTTTAAATCAGATCGACTGAGAATATGGATATGGCTCTGTGAGCGCTGTGAATTAGCGCCTACAATTTTGAGAAGCGCCCCGTGTTCGAGACTGCTTCCAGGTCTGCCCCGTGCCCTGAGGAGAGGGATGAGGGAGTGGGGATGGGGATGGAAGGTGAATGAGGGCGTGTGAGGGAGGACAGTGGACGTAGGGGGAGGAAGGGAGAAGGCGGGAGGGAAGGGGGGAGAGGAAGGAGGAGGTAGGAGGAAGGACGACGGAGGAAGAAGGAGGGAGCGTGGAGCAGAGAGAAGCAATATTCATTAGACATGCGCCAATTTGTTTACAACAATAAACTGAACTTGAGAGAATCGCAGCGGCCTCCTCCCTGCTGCTCTGCAGCGGTACGGTGGCGGGGTTTGCCTGAGGCTACTGGATATGAAACTCGACGGAAACAGCACGCCACCGAACACCAGAGATACGTGATCAACCGAAGCTTGACCCTCGGCACGATCGCACACCAAGCATCTTCATGCTGCCGTCGCATATGTCTGCCACCGTGCCTCGCAAGTCCAGTGCCCTCGGGCGCCTCAGAGTCCTGAACATTGGGTGTTGTAAATGCTCGTGAGGGCCACAAGCCCCCGAACTCACCGAGTTCGCGGGCTCGGGCGTGCGCTGAATTCTCTGCGCGTCTTTTCTGCGGGCCTCGGGAGCTCGACAGGCCACTGTCCTCCCAAAGTCAGCCAAACAGGCCAAAGTCATAACCATACAGTAGGGGCCCGACCACAAGAGACCTTCCACATCCGACCTAACCCTGGCACCCCAGGACGTCCATCGATATTTCGGCGTGGGAACGTCAAGCTGTCCATCGCAGAACCAGCGAAACCCAAGAAACCCAGGAAACCCTGGAGGCAAGCAAGGTGTTTCTTTGCATGGGCCTCCGCTGTAGAATGTCCACGTTCTCGGCTTTCCGGTCTGAGCGGTCCAGGACGGCCGAGAGGCCCTTGGAACCGCCCAGGAGGGCCTCCGAGGTCCCCAAGAGAGACCCAAGAGGCTCCTCCTCCTCCTCCTCCTCCTCCTCCTCCTCCTCCTCCTCCTCCTCCTCCTCCTCCTCCTCCTCCTCCTCCTCCTCCTCCTCCTCTTCCGCCTCCTTTTCCGCCTCCTCCTCCTCCTCCGCCTCCTCCTCCTCCTCCTCGAGGGGGAGCTCGAACTGTCAGTCGGAGCCTCCACCTCAACATGGCTCCCGAGACCGCCGGCAGGCCCGAGGGGCCCCACGGGGCCACCGATGGGCTCCGAGATAAGCCCTGAAGACACCTCCCAGAAGCCCCCAGGGATCCCAAAGAGGTCCTCCAGAGGCTTCCAAGAGACCCCCACAGCGTACCCCAAGAGGTATCCGAGAGGCCTTCAATTCCCGACTCAGGCACGGTGGCGGGATGGGCCGAAGGCCACTAGAGCCGTATATCGTTGAATTCTGTGGCGTACGGGAATGCGTGCACGTATTGTCACACCCTGGAAACCGACTCGTGTCTCCGACACGCCGAACCAACAACTTGACACGTGTGCGCATGCACGCGCGTAGTACATTCGCCACTGTGCCGTCGGCATTGCGTGGAGTGTCATCAGACACCTTCGAATCGTCAAAGCTGTATGCAGTAGGAGCACGACCACAAGAAACCTTCCACAAGAAACCCAACCCTGACACCCCACGACGTCCGTTGATTTTCGTTGGCGTGGAACGTCACGCTGTCCACAACGAAGCCACGGAAACCAAAAAAAACTGGGCACCCTGGAGGCAGCCAGCATGTTTCTTGGCATGGGCTTCCACTGTACAGTCAACCCGTATAATAAGGATGCGCGGAAAGGATGCAAGAGCCCTGGAGGGCCATGCTAACGTTTTTCGAGCGAGGCTGGCCACCAAAAGTCGTTCAAGATGGAAGGGGCAAAGGAGGGGCAACGATAGGGGGATAGGGATAGGGAGGGAAACATCGAACTGGAATCGGCGATACATCGCGGATAGATCGGCGATATGCCTCCGATAGTAAATCCGCACAATCCTTGGCAGGTTGGAGCTATCAGACCCCTATCGGCGATCAATGGGCGATTGGGGGTCGATGCATCCTCCACTATTCCAATCCCCTCTTATCGTTGCCCCCGAACAAAAATTAAAGGGCACCCTTGGGAGGGTTGTCCATCCTCACTACGCGGGTCGACTGTACTGCCAGGGGGCCCAGACCCCCACCGGGGTGCCCCTCCGCGCCGCCGGGGCCCCCCTGCCCCAAAGGCCTCGGGAGCGCGGCGGGAGGCCCTTTCCCGTCATCGTCCTTCGCATCGTCCTCAGCACCAGCAACAGCATTAAGCGCAGCTTCCTCCCCGCCACCATGGTTCCGTCATCATTAGTCATGGCCAAGAAAGTCTGGGCATCGTCATACCAACGGAGGTTCCTCCTCCTCCCCCTTACGCATCCCCCTCATTATTCGCCTCCCCCTCCTCTCCCCCCCTCCGCACTTCGTCTTCGATCGTACCCCCTCTTTGAGGGTGCATTCATTCCCTGCCACGCGCGGTTGGCGAAGCCCTTGGAAACGAAGGGTAACAGATAACGGGGGAGAAGGAGGACGAAGGAATCCGAGGAAGGGAGGGGAAGGGCAAGGAGGGAGGATGATGATTTGCGCTGCGAGTGGCGATTCAACTTGCGCCACTGCTTGCGCCAGCCACTCCAAAACAGGTTAACAATAAGTTTCGCCATTGGGCGCGCCATAAACAGCGCCACGTACCACCCCTTGGAAAGAACATATCGTGGGTACCCCAACGGGGGGGCGTACAGCTGCGAACTGGTGCCAGAAACAAATTTCGTGGAACCCTGAAATGAAGCGGGATGTTAGGAGAGTGGGGCGGAAGGATAGTTGCAACCGTGTCGAGAGGAGCGCGGAAGCCCCAAGTGAGAGCGCGATTCTTCAAACAGTGAAGAAGTACCAAGCGGGAGCCGCAATCCGGTGGTAAATCGCAAGGAAGTCCCAAGAGAGAGCGCGATTCTTCAATAAGTTGTGAGGAAGTATCAGGCGGGAGCCGTTGTTGTTGTTGTTGATGTTGTAACCCGGGGGCCAACGACACAGTTTGACCCTCAAGACTTGCCCTGATAAAAAACAAGGTGCGAGCCCCGGGAGGGGCACTTCAATCGGAAAAAACAATGTGCACCGGACGCGGGGGATCAACAATAATCATCCTTCAGAAGTGAGTTCAAAAAACAACAGCACCACCACCAACAACAATAGCAACAACAACAACAACACCAACACCAACAACAACAACACCAACACCACCACCACCACTAACAACAACAACAACCACAACACCAACACCAACACCAACAGCACCACCAGCACCAACACCAACACCAACAACAACAGCACAACGAAAACATCATCACCAACAACAAAAACAACATCAGCAACAACAATAGCAACAACAATCAGAACGACAACAACAGCAACCACAACACCAACAACAACAGTAACTATAACAACAGCATCAGCAGCGTCAACAGCAACCGCAGCAGCAACAACTGCAACAACAACAGCAGCAACTGCAGCAGTAACAATAACAACCCTGACAACAGCAGCGGCACCAGCAACAACAACAACCACAACAACAATCACAACTACATCAGTAACAGCAAACACAACAGCAACAACAACCGCAGCAGCAGCAAACATAACAACAGCAACAACTGCAGCAACAACAGCAACAACAACAACACCAACAACAACAGCAACACCACATACAGCAACAGCCACAACAACGACAACAGCAACAGCAGCAGCAGCAACCTCACCATCGACAACAGCAATAGCAGCACCAACAACAGAAACAACAGCAGCGGCATCACCAACAGTAACACTAACAATCAGTCTAAGACTATTCGCTCTCATCTGCTCGCGGGCCATTCAACACGTATATCCCAAACCCTCGATAACCCGCCCTCTTCATCGTCGATCATACCCCTTGGGGGTATACATCTTTCTTACCTGCAACGTGTACTTCGTGCAGCCCCTAACGCAGGGGAAGAGAGGCCGGATGGAAAAACGGGACATGGGGGAGGGAGGAGGATGGAGCACGAGAGAGAATAGCAGGAGGGAGCTAAAAACAGAAAGCACGTGGCAAAACCAGACGGGCAGATCGGGCGGGTAGACACTAACGGGCGGGTCGGGAAAGCGGGCCAAATCGGCCAGGTCAAGCAGGCGGGTTGCCGAGAACGTGATTCCTGCATGAATCGCGATGAAGTCTCGAGCGAGAGCGCGATTCCTGAGTAAATCGCAAGGAAAGTCACAGCGAGAGCGTCATTCCTGAGTGTCGGGGGCGCGGCGTCTGCGAAAATTGCGAGGCAGTCCGACGCGAGAGCGCAACTTCTGGAACAAATGTGAGGACGTCCCGCGCGAGATCGCGATGTGGGAATACATTACCAAGAAGTATCAGGCGGGAACCGCTGTTGTTGTAAACCGGGGACCAACAACCAAATCTGGTGTCACCTCGCTTTCCCTTGTAAAAAAACAAGGTGCGAGCCCTTGGAGGAGCACTTTGATTGAAAAATATAATGGTTACCGTGCAGGGGGGATCAAACATAATTATGCTTCAGACATGAGAATCCAACAACAACAGCAACAACAACAACCACAGCAGCAGCAGCAATAATACTGATAATGACAACAACATAAACAACTACAGCAAGAGCAAAAGCAACAGCGGAAACAACATCATAAACAATAGTCACAACAACGAAAACAGCATCAGCAGCATAATCATATCATCATCATCATCACCACCACCACCATCATCATCATCATCATCATCATCATCAACATCATCATCATCATCACCACCATCACCACCATCATCATCATCATCGGCAGCAACAGCATCATCACCATCATCATCAGCAGCATCCACATCGTCATCATCAGCAGCCTCACCCTCATCCGCATCCTCATCATCATCCTCATCATCATTAAATTCATTATCGTCGCCATCATCATCGTCAGTAGCATCATCATCATCATCATCATCATCATCATCATCATCATCATCATCATCATCATCATTGTCAGTATCATCATCATCACCAGCATCATCATCATCATAACCACCAACATCATCATCCATCATCATCATCATCATCATCAGCAGCAGCAGCAGCAGCAGCAGCAGCGGCAGCAGCATCCCGCTATCATCTTCCCTATCCCTCCCCCTTCCTCTTCCTCCTCCTCCTCCTCGTCCTCCTCCTCCTCCACCTCCTGCACTTCCTCCTCCTGCTCCTCATTCCCCTTTTCCGATCCTCCACCATTCTCGGGAGCGGCCAAGAGGGGGGTGTCCAAGAGGGGGGGGTGCAAATCACGACCGGCGGCATGTGCGCGACCCAGCGGGGGGGGCAGGGACGTAATGAAATAAGAGGAGGCGCCATGATATCTGGGGAAATATCATGGCCCCCGCCATGATATTCACCCCCCCCGTAGTCATCACCCCCCTCTTTTCCGTCCCCGACATTCTCCCAAGCGCCAGCCCAGGCCCCTCCTCCGGGACGCGAGCAGCAGCGTCGGCGGGCAGCGCACGCGGGCCTGTCGGCGGGCTCGGCGACAGGAAGGCACCAACGTGGGAGCCACTGCCCAAGGCAACTGCACATCTGCACGACCGCCGCTGGACTGCCGTTCCGTAGCAGGGAATACGTCGACCACGTTCCCAGGCTGTGGGAGGCTTCGAATGGACCAGAGATTTTGGGTTCAAGCCCTGGGACATACACCGGACTCACTTCTATAGCGCTCACTTCTATAGCGCTCACTTTGAAATTGTGGTCCGGAAGGGGCCGCACATGCAGGCACATGCCGCACAGTCGCATGCACATGCCCATGCAAATATACAAAAGCCTCAACAGCATTGCCGCACATGCGCGCACATGCCACACCGTCCGACGCACAGTCGAATGCACGGTCAAGCAAAACTCTGAAAGCATAGACGCACATGCCCGCACATGCCGCAGAGATGTCGCAGGCGATAGTGGCCTGACCACCTGAGCTCGGGGCATTTCGCAACCCAGAGTTCCGAGGATGTCTCAGGCAAGCGTGGCCGGATCACCATGGGGCAGGGCATCTTGGAAACCAGAGTGGCGAGGATGTCGCTGGTCAAGGTGACCAGACGACCATGGGGCAGGACACCTCCGAGGTCTGAGTTGTGAGGATGTCTCAAGCGAAAGTGGCCTGACCACCATGGGGCAGGAGATCTCTGAGGTCAGAGTTGCGAGGATGTCTCTGGGGAGAGTGGTCTGACCACCTCAGCCCAGGGCATCTCGGAGCCCAGAGTTGCGAGGATGTCTCAGGCAGGACTGGCCTGACCACCTGCTCAGGGCATCTCAGAACCCAGAGTTGCGAGGGTCTCAGGCGAAAAAGGCCGAGACACTATGGAGCAGGGTATCATTGAGGTCAGAGTTGCGAGGATGTCTCAGGCAAAAGTGGCCTTAACAGCTCAACTCAGGGCATCTCGGGCGAGGATGTCTAAAGCGAAAGTGGTCTAACCACCTCAACTCAGGGCGTCTCGGAACCCAGAGTTCCGAGGATGTCTCAGGCGAAAGGGGCCGAGACACTATCGAGCAGGGCATCATTGAGATCAGGGTTGCGAGGATGTCTCAGGCGACAGTGGCTGACCACCTCAGCTCGGGGCATATCGGAATCGAGACTTGCGAGGATGTCTCAGGCGACCGTGGCCTGACCAGCATGGGGCAGGAGATCTCTGAGGTCAGAGTTGCGAGGATGTCTCATGCGAAAGTGGTCTAACCACCTCAGCTCAGGGCGTCTCGAAACCCAGAGTCCCGAGGATGTCTCAAGCGAAAGTGGCCGGGCCACCATGGGGCAGGGCATCTCCGAGACCAGAGTTGCGAGGATGTCTCAGGCGAAGGTGGCCAGATCACTTCATGTCAAAGCACGTCGGCCTCCAAATTGCCGACGACGTCTCACGCGGAACTGGCCGGACGCGAACGCGCCGGCGTCCGGAGACGAACGCCGGCCCCGGCATTCTTGCACGTCCCGCACATGCACTGCACAGGTACGCACAGTATTCGCACAGGCCGAGCTCGCCGGTGGCCGAGCCAGGCCAGCGATTCCGAGATTCCCTGAGCTCGGGCCGTCAAGCCACTTTCGCCTGAGACAGCCTCGCAACTCTCACCTCCTCCTCCTCCTCCTCCTCCTCCTCCTCCTCCTCCTCCTCCTCCTCCTCCTCTCCTCTGGCCGAGCCGAACAGGCAGGCTGGCCAGTGGCCGGGGGCGCCCGCCTCCTCCGCCCCCCCCTCCTCCCCCCCCCCTCCACCTCCCCCCCCCCCATCCCTGCTTCTCCGGCCGAGCTGAGAAGGCGCGCGGGAGAGTATTTTATTAGGCGGGCGCGCCACCGCCAGCTCACGAACCGGGCGAATAACCGCCCCCGCCAGCAGCGGGCGAGTCTAAACGCACAACAAACTCTTTCAGGAAACCCTGGCACGCCCCAGGTTAGCTCTGCGAAGGCCAGGAGGCATTGGAGGCACAGGGGTCCCAGACAGCTCCTAGGGCATGAGCGTGCATGTGCATTGGGATGTGCACGCATGTGCGCCCGCGCGCTTCACCGCATGTGCGTGCATGTGCGGGACCGCGCGGCCTCCCGAAGAGAGGTTGCACAGGCATGTGCGTGCATGTGCCGATGACAGATCTGCGATTCTCGAACACCTCCCGCATGTGAAGGCATGTGCGCGCATGTGCGTCGGACTGTGCGTGCATGTGCGTACGATGGATACATCAAAACACAGCGCACATGCCCCCGCACATGCCCGGGCACGACGTGCACAGTAGGAAGTCCATCCAAGAAGGACCGCACAGGCCTGGCACATGACTTGCACATGCCGCGCACATACGCGCACATGACAGCGCAAAAACGGCCGCACATACACCCACCCAGGGGTATGCAGCGCACATGACAGCGCAAAAACGCCGACGGTTTGCAAGCGGAGCGCGGGGACTGGGGGAACAAATCACCTGCGACTTTTGAACAACAAATCATAAACGTAGTCTTTCGGAGCTACGCGCGGATCTCTTGGATCCGTGCCGGCCCCCACCCCTGCATGGCGCGCGGAGCGGGCCAGCGGCGGCGCCGGAGGCGCCGCCAGGGGGGGACCCAGCGCAGACCTAAGAAATCCTCGAGGAGCTGCGACCATTTATTTTTACGTCGATTTCTTCTTCGAGAATCACTGCTTGGCCGTGGATTCTTCCACTTGGCCTCCTTTGGGCTGCGGTTAGATTGTCGGTTGGACGGTCCTCTGGCACCTCCCGTTTGTAACATTGCATATTCGAGGGACCTTGTCAGTCCCATCGCGCCACTATTCGTGTCGAATCCGTGTCAATTACTCCGACGGAAGAACCCCACATAAGAATCCTCTGGGCGAATCTGGAAAAAAAACCATCACCGTCGTCCTCGTGGTTGGTGAGGCGTCCTGGCTGTCTCTTCTGCGTATATTTCCTGTCGCCTTGGCGCGGGCCCCCCTTCCACTCCTTACGTTGTCCCCATCCTCGCCCCCCTGTTTGTTCCGCGCCCCGCCACCTCCTCCCCTTCCTGTTGCATGAGCGCGCATGTCGATGTTCCTCGGCGCCGTCGCCGCCACGGCCAGCACAGGCGCGTTCTCTACTGGTCACGTCGCGCAGCCGTTGGGACAACCCCGCGGGCCAGGCTGTCGGGACAACCCCGCGAGCCGTTAGCGCGCAAGACCAAGCCGTTGGGACAACCCCGCGGGCTTCGAGCGAGGCGCAGCCGCGCTCAGGCGGAAGGCAGCACGAAGCCCAGCTCTGCCGCGAGCTGCTTCGCCTCCGCCCTGGACAAAACCGCTCTCTTGTCGAACTCCAGGAGCGCCTTCCGCAGGGACGCCGGCGGCCCGCTCGGATTACCAACATGATCTGCGGGCCCCATAGGGAGGGGGCTCCCGCCTGAGCCTTCCTCAGAATTCACTCACAGACGAGGCTCCCGCCTGAGACTTCCTCCAAATTCAGGCTTGAGGAGCCCAAAAATGACGACAGTTACAGGATCCCGATGACCCGCTCGGATTACCAACATGATCTGCGGGCCCCATAGGGAGGGAGCTCCCGCCTGAGACTTCCTCCCAATTCACTCACAGACGAGGCTCCCGCCTGAGACTTCCTCCATTTTCAGGCCTGGGGAGCTCAAAAGTGACGACAGTTACAGGATTCCGATGACCCGCTCGGATTACCAACATGATCTGCGGGCCCCATAGGGAGGGGGCTCCCGCCTGAGACTTCCTCACAATTTACTCACAGACGAGGCTCCCGCCTGAGACTTCCTCCAAATTCAGGCTTGAGGAGCCCAAAAGTGACGACAGTTACAGGATTCCGATGACCCGCTCGGATTACCAACATGATCTGCGGGCCCCATAGGGAGGGAGCTCCCGCCTGAGACTTCCTCCCAATTCACTCACAGACGAGGCTCCCGCCTGAGACTTCCTCCATTTTCAGGCCTGGGGAGCCCAAAAGTGACGACAGTTACAGGATTCCGATGACCCGCTCGGATTACCAACATGATCTGCGGGCCCCATAGGGAGGGGGCTCCCGCCTGAGACTTCCTCACAATTTACTCAACGATGATGAGGATGAGGATGATGAGTGGTGGTGAAGATGAGTGGTGAAGAGGATGATGATTGATTGTGAGTGGTGGTGGCGATGATGATGTTTGAATGAGGATGATGCCGATGCCGATGATGATGATGATGATGATCATGAGCGTGTGAGAGAGTGCGAGTGATGATGATGATGAGTATGTGAGTGACTAAGCATGTGAGAGAGCATCATCGATGATGCTGATGAGGTTGATGATGAGAGAGTGTGAGTGAGTGTGAGTGGGTGTGTGTGTGTGTGTTCCTGTTCCTGCGCGGGGTGTCCAGAGAAAACAAGAACCCCACTTTGGATGTGGGGAAAAAACCAAATACGCGGCGAGTCCACGTCGAACCCATGTCGAATCCGTGTCGAATATTTGTCGATTCCGAGTCGGGTACAAGAAAAAAGACAGCACTTTACGGGACAGACGAGGTCCCCCCAAAATGCATCGTAACGTTTAGGCTATCGTCTGGCCGCCGGTACGCTGATGCTCGACTGTGTCCTCTGCTGTCATTTGAACCCGAATGCAGTTTCCCCACTCTTGGCGGCCCTGATCAGAGGGCGCGGATAGCTACCACGGCAGATGAAGTTTGCACCCATGGGCGAACTGGAAGAAGAAGGGCGAAGGAAGAAGGACGAAATGATGAGGAGGAGGGATGAGGAGGGAGAAAGGAGAAGCAGAGGGAGGAGCACGCAGAAGGAGGAATAGGAGGATGAGGACAAGAAGAAGGAGCAGCAGGACAGAGGAGATAAACGAGGAGACAAGTTGCTCTACTCGCAGCGGTGGCTTGGTTGAACAGATCAGACCCTAGATGCCATAACTTGGAAAACGCGGTTCGGAACATAGCCAAGCGCAACCCCGAACGAAGAACTGACTCACACTGGTACGAATGCACATGGCGGCAAAGATTCGCCAGAGGCGTCTCGAACATGTCCCTCAAGTGT